TATACTTTCTTCGTCCGCGTGTGGCATATAGGGGGGTCTTTTGTAATTAGTTTTATCTGGGCGCACGCACTGTCATAAGTAATTTGGCGGCCTGGACCCGGCAGCGCTGTTGCCAGTTTGGCATTACTGTCAGCGAGATCGTTGCCGAGGATATCGCGGTGACCGTTGTTGTTGTTGTTGTTGTTGTTGTTGTTGTTGTTGTTGTTGTTGTTGTTGTTGTTGTTGTTTTGGTAAGTGTTTAACGGCGCTCGCAACTGCATAAGGTCATGTGAGCGCGTGGGACGCATTAAACATTTTCAGTTGGTAGGAAATTTTGAATGTTACCCGGAATGCGGCCAAAGCCTACTCTCATCTATTTTGGACCACCAAGCGGTCTTTAATGTGTGCAACTTGCACCCGGGACCTCTGGGATTTTTTGCCCTTGTCCAAGAAGGTTAGGTGTAGATATTTCTTACCAAATGATCATGGGTGTGGTTGAAAGACAGCAGTAAAAAGGAGCCAAGGAGTAGCAGTAGAAAGGCTGCCCAGAGGAGGGTGCAAAGGAGGTGAGGGGGAGAGGGTAGAAAGTGGAGACCAAGGCAGACAACAGAACATTGTTGCAGGTGAAAGGAGAACATTTTAGAAAAGAACATTTTCCGTCGGTATCCGGATTCGAACCCGGGATCTATTGAATGCGAGGCGAACACCCTAACCTCTAGGCTACGAGAGACCCCGGTTATGTATTGAATATTTCTAAAATTTCTGAAAATGATCAGACCATTACGTGGGTGGTTGGCAAGTGATCTGAAAATGATCAGACCATTACAGTGTATGTGGGTGGTTGTCTTGTGGTTTGTTCCTTTATTTCTCATCAAACATCTATGCTCCTCATCTCTCTTCCTTCTTTTTTGTGCATGTTACACTCTTGTAATCTTCGGCGCTTGTATCATGACCTAATTATTTTGTAAGAGCCATAAAACTCATACCAAGACGAACAAAATAAGACCAGTCCACTGTCTTTAACTCCAATAGACGTAGGCCTATTCTCTAGTTTGTACCAGCAGATAGAACTAAAATATGTAAGGGAATGTAGACCTGATTTCGCCCCCATCACCTACATGCTATTTGTGGCTTTATTTTTAATTTATTTTTTATTTTTAAAATAAGGAGCGAACAGAAGTGACCAGGACAGTGTTGTGTGTAGAAGTTCAAATCTGTGGCAA